CCAACAGCTGCCCAAAACAACCTGGACAAATTACAATCCACAGAGAAAGAAACTGAGGCAGAGCCGCGGCTGAGATTCAAATCCAAGTGGGTCCTGCCCCAAACTAGCCCCATTCCCTTAATCTAGAACTGTTCCCACCCACACTGTGCTAAATACCAAATCCCTCCACTAGCAGGTGTACCCAATCCGCAGGCTCACACCAGCTGGCCCAGGGTAGCTGTGGATGCCACCCAACATATTTGCAAATGGCAAGGACTATGTTATAAAGTCTAGAGGGTGGGTACCCCTGCTAGATTCACCCAGGACCCCGGGGAGCCAGCCCTCCACACAAAACAGAAAGGAAACAAAACAAATGAAAAATAATATTCTCACACAAATCAAAACCAATGCAAAAACACCCACGACCAGAAAAGAATAAAAAAAGGCAGGACCCAGCCTTGTGGTTCTACCACCTACGAGTGTGTTCTCCCTCACCTCACTTTAGGTGGGGGAGGTGGCATACCTGGACTAATCTCATGCGTAGCCTCCAAAACATCGTCACTGCCGCGATTCTGCCTCTTCCCAGACACGTTAATGAGAGAGCAAGACCTGCCGGCATGTACCTTAACTACCCAGTCAGAACCTCTCTTTCCTCCCCCTGATGCACCCCAAACCACTTTTCATTATCGTTGGCTTTCAACAGATCAAAGGGATCTTAGACTGTAACCCCATGGCTCTCAGCCCCGCTGTGCACAGAATCGGAACAGGCCTCAGGCCAGGTCCCTTTTTAAGCTACCTTTCACCTCTGGGACAAGCACCTGAGGGAAGGTTAGTGTGGGCACACACTTTCAGAGGTCTCAGCCCGTGGTGTGTGAAAGGGTTCAGTGGGGTTAGTGGCTCACTGCGTGGAGGTCAGGGAACTGAGCACGCAGAGGCACAGGAAGTAGACGCCCTTCTGAAACAGGTGCCAGTAGCCTGCTCCCTCCATTTGGGGACCACTCCCAACAGCTCAGTCAGCTATGAACCCATCCGCTGATTAATCCAATGATGAGGTTAGCTCCAATCACCTTGCAAAACAAAACACTTTTTTAGACAATCTTTCTGTATAGCCACAACTATCTTTGAACTCACTCTGCAGACCAGGCTGGCCTCGAACTCACTGAGATCCGCCTGCCTCTGCCTCCTGAGTGCTGGGATTAAGGGCCTGTACCACCACATCTGGTCCAATCACTTTTAAAGAATGCCACCAGCTGGTTTCAGGTGACTAACATAGAGACTTTAGGGGTACACTGATTATCCAAAGCACAAGAGTCCCACGGGTCAATTAAACAGACTCCCTGGGTGACAGGCCCCAGACTTGTGTTCCTAAAGGCTGGGCTAGTAACTCAGGTCCACCCTTTAGTGCCCTCTGTGAAGGACAATTTTGTGCCAGCTTGTCAAAGCTAGAGAAGTCTGAGAGGAGGAGGCCTCCATTCAGGAAACGCCTCCCTAAGATGGGCTGGAGGCAAGCTTGGAGGGCATTTTCCTAATTGGTGATTGATGGGAAAGGGCCCAGGCCATTGTGGGTTGGTGCCATCCCTGGCTAGTGGTCCTGGCTTCTATAAGAAGGTAGGTTGAACAAGCCATAAGGAGCAAGCCAGAAAGCAGCACCCCTCCCTGGTCTCTGCATCAGCTCCTGCCTTCTGGTTCCTTCCCTGTTTGAGTTCCTGTCCTGATTCCTTCAAGGATGGACTGCAGTGTGGAAGTACAAGCCAGAGAAGCCCTTTCCTCACCAGCTTGGTCATGGGGTTACATCATGGCAATAGTAACTAAGAAACCTCCACTGCCCTCCTCTGCCTTTCCTCCTCACCCATATTTGGATTTGTTTATCTCTCCCAGTCACACATCTCAGCCCCTTTCGCTCTTTTTCTGAGATCCATTTCTACCTGAAAAGATACAAGATCTCAGATGAAGTACCTGCCACATTGTTTGTAAAAGCCCGCTTCCCAAAGCAACACTAATGGTCTGTGGAACCTCTCAAGCCCTAATTACTTACCTGTTGAAATCTCCGCAGGCTGCGTCTCCCATCGTCAGTTCACAGGATAATTACCCCCGGTGAGAGCCGCTGAAGCTCTCGCAGAAGAGCAGTACTGACTTAGGGTGGATGCCTGCTGCTGCCCGCAGAGTGTGCACAGAAGAGAGTGACTACAGAAGGACAGACAGATCTGCTACGCTTTAAAAACCAAAGTCACTGTGAGCACAGCAGGATTCGCTTCTGCAGAACCAACACTGGCACTCCTTGGGACTGAATTGCCAAGTTCTGGATACACGCAGATCAAGGGCCTGGAGTGAGGTTTCAAAATCTTGGTTCTAGATTTTTCCATGAAGAGAGAAGATACCAAAAGAGACTGATAGACATGACCACATCTGGGTCTCACTACCAGAGTTAAGTTTTCCATGGGAAAAGCATCCAAACATCTGGGCATGGTGGTGGGTCACATCTGTAATCCCAATACTCAGGAGGATTACAAGTTTAAGGCAAGCCTGGGATGCATAGCAAGACCCCATCTCACATACGTTCGTGTGTGTGCATGTATGTACACGTGTGTTCGTGTACACTTACCAATCCAACATTTAAGGAAGCAACAATGCCCAGTTTGTAGAGGGTCTTCTCACTCTGAAAATGTATAGAGGAAGGTCCTGTGCCATGGAAGGAGAGAAAACTGCCTTGCTTCTGGCTCTGGCTCACAAACTGGGCTACGTAAAACTAGGAGACTACAGAATCCAGTCATAGGCCGGCCAAGGTTTGTCGTCCTAAATCTCTCTAGGCTGTGGCTGTTACCAGAGTGATCTCTGTCCTGTTTGTCAGTGTCTAAGGCCTGGAAAATCAGCTCCATTCTCAAAAAGTGATTTTCCTTCTTTGGAAATTCACACGTATTACATCAATAAAGCATCTTCCCAGTTTCCCAGGGTAATGCCGAGGGAGGATCTTAGCTCCTGACTACTAAACGTTGTACAAATGCAGCAGAAGGGGGCTGGTCATTTGTTTCTGGATGCAATTTTCTGATCAAACTCTCCAATGCCTGCTCTGTCAACAAATTCATTAATTCAACTAATATTCGTGGAGAGCCGATTTCATGCCAGGCTGGGCCTCGGGGGCCACAATGGTGATCCAGGCAGGGAACAAGCCTTATTAAAGACACTGTGAGGGAGCCGTGGTCCCCACCCTTGAGCGGCTGATAATAGGGTGAGGGAACAGAACAGATCGGAAGCAATTAGAAAACAATTAAGTGTTAAATTATATGCCTCCGACTAGCCCAAGGGATTCTCGGGAAGAGAGGCAGCTAATGTCACCAGTGTTTTCGCAGAAGAAATGATGCTGGCTGGGAGGATGCCCTGGACTGGAGGAGTTGAGCAAAGTTGGAGAGTAGAACACTCCTAGAGGGGGGCAGATACCCAGGACCACTCCGGGAAAGCCAAGGTTGTAGATGCTGGCCACACATTGGATCAGAAATGCTCACAAGAAATGTATGAGGCTACCCTACTGACGTGGAAGGCTTTGAGTTAGCCTTGAAATAATATTTAGTTAATACCACAAAAATGAAGTTTTTTCCTCCAAAACATAAACCTATGACTATTTCCTTTAAACCTTGGTCTTGAGAGAGAAGTTATGGGCTTTTTTCAACTCTGTCTACAGTGGGAAGGCCTCGGGATCACCTGGGACCACTTTCCTGCCCCTGTCCCCAGAGTCTCAGATTTGTAAATGTGGGGTGGAGTGGTCCAGGCTCCAGGGTATTTTCAGAGCTCACGGGTGATGCTAGGTGATACTGTTCATCCCATTACTTTAAAACTACTCTCCATCTTATGCCTAGGTGTGGAAAGGGAGGGATGTAGGCAGAATGTTGGTCTGTAATCTTGAAAACAGACATGGAGAACATCTGGAGAATTCATAGCAGAAAGAAATCAATCAAACAAACTGTCCTCCTATGACCTCCGAGTGCATCCCATAGTCAAGATTGGGCCTGATTAATTAAAATCTACCTTTACAGCATAAGCTTGCCTGATGGATGAAGAAAAGGGGAGGTCTGCCTGTCTTTCACATAGTGGAAAGAGGAAGCTGTGACATAGAGCTAAATCTGACAACCAAGCTCTTTCCCCATCCTTAGCTAGGTAGGTCACTTTGTGTCTTCAATTCCAGAGAAAAAGATGCCCAACACTATGCAAAAAGTTCTGTATGTAAAAATCAGGAAGAGTATTGTCTTTGGTCACATGCATTGCTTGAAGAATAATGCCATCCCAGTCACCCATAAGAGGGTAGAGAGGAGAGCCATGACCCGTGTGTGCCAGGCTTTGCCCCGGAGTTCTGTCCTGCTTAGTATGGAACACTTCTTTTCTTTTTAAAATGTATTTTCATTTGCGTGTGTGTGTGTGTGTGTGTGTGTGTGTGTGTGTGTGTGTGTGTACATGCATTCAGAATTCAGATGCCCTCATGGGCGAGGAGCTACAGGCAGTTATGAGGCACCCAAAGTAGATACTGGGAAATGAACCCAGGTCCTCTGCAAGAGACGTCAGTGCTCTTAACCACTGAGCCATCCGTCTAGCCCCAGGCCACAGTTCTTGACATTGTGAGCTGCTTTTGTCCCCTTAGATTCTCCTACAGAGTTCTAGGCCCATTTCTTTTCCGCAGCTGATTTGCATGCTGTGCTGAGGGTTGCTTTGAGGTCCCCTCTTTGCCTGGATGTTCTATTTCTGTCATTGCCTCTGGGAGCTTTGTTTGGACTGAAACATTGCAAGCTACTTGTAAAATCATCCTTGGCTAACACACATACACACATACTTATACAATCATACAAACGCTAAACATATGCGTACATACAAATGTACCTGCATACAAATAGACACACACACACATATATAAGCACACACGTTATATAATACATATAAACATATACACATACATATACAGTATGTGTACACACACATACACACACATGCACACATGCACGCACATATCTGCTCTTCACCATAAACTTGACTCTTGCTTAACACAAGACACCAAAGTTCAGTTGTATTTGTGACCTATCTGTGGTCTGGCTGAGTTTCCTGAGGAGACCACAGAATGTGAGAATTGGTACATTTTTCCCCCCTGCAGCAGGACTGGCATCAGAGGTCTCAATGGCTTAGATGGTGTCCTTCCCCTCTGTAGACATCACTGATGGGCTGTTTTATTATTCATTCAGGATTCGTTCTAAATGGCTGGGAGCAGACCTCAGCACATTCATCAGTCTCTGCTTAGAGGACGTTTTTATTTGGCGACAACAAATTCTCCTCTGACATTTGTGCCTAAATCATCTTAACAAATGACCAGCCCTGCAATGACCATGGAAGCCCAGGAACACTGCCCAGAGGAGAGACTGTCACATGAGCCAGCTTCAGAAAGCTCCGTCCTGAAGAATCCATCCATGACGGCACTGCCATTTCAGAACACGTTTGGATGACAGCTGTCAGAGACAAGATTTGCTTCCGTGAAAACTGGCAGGTGTTTGAGGTGAGTCGGGAACACCGTGGCTGATTATACACATGGTCCTGCAACATCAGTGACGATCCCGCAGGAAAGGACACAGAGGGCTGGCTGCCAAACGACGACATTCGTGCCAGACCATGTCTTCCTACGCCGTGTGCCTTGGAACATCTGAGAAGTTCTCAGAACGCCTCATGGTGTCAAACACTCTCTTTTTGGTCCCCAGAGCTTCCTGTTTTAAACCACTGGGGTGAACCTGTGGAGACATCAAAGATTCTTTCCATAGGTGAGCCGGGCGATTGATTCATTCACCAACCAGGATGCACTGTGCCCCGCATTCCATGTCACAGTCTCTGGTCACACGAAGGTCCAGGCTAGTTCGTGAGACCCAACAGGGAATGGGACAATGAGCACTGCACTCACGAGCCAGGCTGAGCTCAGAGCTGAAATGCAAAGGCAGGGAGAACAACGAAGAAGCTAACTTAGCCTGAGAGGATGGGGTGTGAGCCTGGGATGGGGGAGCTGATGGGAATAAGAGGGTGGATGCAAAAATGACATCAGAGACAAAACAACAACAACAACAACAACAACAACAAAAAGTAAAAAAACCCAAGTTCTGGGAGTGAGAAAGTTTAGGGGGTGGTGTTAAAACTGTTATATTTTTGACTTGACTTAAGTTGTTGAAGGTAGGGCCTTTCGCCAGAAGCAATCAGAGAACAAACAGGGGGTTAGTGAGATATTCAAGTGACGATGCGGAGCAGACCTTTGGGGCTGTGCAGAGGAGAGCGTGGGCTGTGGACGAATGAGGGGTTCGTCATTGTCATCGGTGTCGCCCATGGGCCAGCTGGCCCAAGGAGAAAAGGAGGGAGAATAAAAAATCTTGGGCTTCTGGAATGTAGGACCGACAGAAGTCAGTCCATCTCACAGTGTTCTGTCCAAACTCACTTGTTGCTCCGTGCGAGCTGCCCCCACTGTAACAGCTCCCATTGGGGCTATTGTCCTACAGATGGGACACGTGAGGGGAAAGTCTTTGTTAGGGCGCTCATAGCACCGGGTCCCAGTATTCTGAAAGCCATTTATCACAGGTTCAGTCAAGTGTGCTTTCATGTGCCCGGGCCTTCAGCCCCCTTCCTTCAACATTTGAGACACCATGCTGACCCTGTAGAGTGGGAGGCGAGCGTGGTTTCTGATGTAAGATGAAATGGTCCCAGAGATTTTATCTTTATGGCTCTCTTGCACAAATCAAAGACGTTCACTCAATCCTCTCTGCTCATTTATCTCACTTAATTTTTCTGACCCCTTTCAGGCATGGCCAGGATATATCTGCTCTCCGAGCCGAGATCTGGAGTCCCGTTTGCCAGCATCCTGAGAACCTGTTGACAGAGGAGAACGGTAATTATCAGCCCATTAACTTGCCAGCTGACATTCCGGTATAGCCACCAACCGCAAATTCAGGTTCTCCCGCACACTTAGGAGCTATGTCTACCTTCCTCTGAATGTTTTTATAATCGTATCACCTTTCGATATTTTCATACTCTGCCTATTTCTAGGCTGCCTTTAACTGGCAAGGCGACATTCCCAATGCTGACCCGCAGGGACTGGCCACCCCTGGGAGAAGGAAGTTTAGAGGTGGACATGTCTTCCCTAGTGTCCGGAGTGTGCTGCTGGAAGGAACCCAGTGTGCGGGGATTTATAGTTCTAAACGGATCCATCCCATAGGCAATACTTTAGAAGTATGTTTTTCTACAGTTTTGACCATAACCAATGGAGCCTGAGGCCCCCAGAAACTCAATTTCTTCATGCTCTCTGTGACTTATTTTGCCTCTAGATTCTTGGACCAGTTTTTCTCTAGAGTCTCTTTTTCAACGGCCTTTTCCATGGGTCCAGATTTTACTCTCAGGGCTCAGTTTGGTGATGACATGTTCCAGGAACCCCCTGTGACTTCTCTTACTCTTTAAGCCTCCCCTCTGTATGGACCCAGCGCCCCTGGGCCACCCTACTACCCACCCATCACAGTCAGTGCCCACTCATCGAAGAGCCGCCCTGGGAACTGAAGTTCTGCTGTGGTTCACACAGGACCACACGGCATCCTCACTGTCACACGCCTGCCTCTGGCCAAGTGCCATGCGCTAAAAAGTAACCACAAACGGTCAGGAGACTCTGCCAGAACCAGCTCTCACCCTCAGGCTGCGAGAAAAGCAAATGCATCCGAAAAACAAAATCAAGACCAGAAGGTGGAGCACACTGGAAATACCCAAGGCAGGACACTAGGACCGGCCCAAGGTCCTCCTGGGCTGAGCATGGCACCAGAACACGGTGAAAGAGGGCATTTGAGGTCTTGGGAGCCTCGATCTCCCTGTCTGCCTTAGCCGGTTTGCTCTTGCTGTAACAAGAGACCTAAGTTCAAACAGTTTATAAATTTAAAAAAAAAAATAGCTAATTTTGGTGGTGGGTTTGGAGATGGAGAAGTTCAAGAGCAGATGCCCCCATCTTCCTCGGCTTGTGGTAAGAGCCTTGTGGTGTGTTACAAGATAGCAGAAGCAGACATACGGCAAAGACCAAATACCCGCGCAACAGTGGAAGCAAGAAAGACAGGGAGCTGAACTCGCTTTCATAGCTTTGCCGCGTCACCTCTAACACTGTCGCCTCGAGGAAAAGGGTCAGCATGAACCTTTTAGTGGGGGAAAAGATCATATCCGAGCTGTGCCATGGCCTATGAAGACGAGGAAGGAATCTTCCCCGAGTGAGCACCACGCTGCCAAGACAAACCATGTATGTTTTAAGAAAAACACTTAATGAGACCAAACATAAGAATCAAGCCTTCAGGGTCTCATCTTCCAGTCAAGTGCAAAATGGCTGTATTGGTTCCTTTGCTGTTGCTGTGACAAGACACAGTAGCCTAAGGCCACTTAGGGAGAGGGTTTATCTGAATTTACAGTTCCAGGGGGTAAGAGCCCCGCATTGAGGGGAGGCGTGGCAGCATATAGCCAGCATGGCCGGAGGCAGGGCAGCTTACAGGCAGTGTGGCGGGAGGCAGGGAAGCTTACAGGCAGCATGGCCGGAGGCAGGACAGCTTACAGCCAGTGTGGCGGGAGGCAGGGCAGCATACAGCCAGCATGGCGGGAGGCAGGGCAGCTTACAGGCAGTGTGGTGGGAGGCTCGGCAGCATACAGCCATCGTGGTGGCAGGAGCCCGAAGCTTAGAGCTCACATCTTTAACCATGAGCGCAGATAGCAAACTAGAAATGGGGAGGCTATGAACTCTCAGACTCCAGCATACTTTCTCCATCAAGGCCAACCACCTCCCCAAACAGCACCTCTCACTGAGAACCAAGTGTTCAAATGTCTGAGCCTACAGGGACATTTCTTATTCAACCCATGACACTGATGTGACACCTATTGAGGAGGATTTAGTAGCAACAAGCAAAGTCACATATGCATCTACCCTTTAAGACCCCAATGCCACTTCCAGGGATCCAGCCCCAGATAAGAGGCCAAAATTGTGAAAGAGACAAATGTTGACTATTTTTAAAGATTAAGTTAAAAAAAAAAAAAAGAAAAAAAAAAACTTGGCTGGGCAGTAGTGACACGCACCTTAAATCCCAGCACGTAGGAGGCAGAGGCAGGCGGATCTCTGTAAATTCGAGGCCAGTCTGGTCTAAAACAGTTAGTTCCAGGACAGGCTCCAAAGCTACAGAGAAACCCTGTCTCAAACGGGAGGGGGGGGGGGGAACGCACTCCGATCTGTCCACGGTGGTCCTGTCTGGCGCTGCTTCTATGCTGGAACAGCGGAACTGACTCACAGAGACAGAGGCACGTGGCTTGAGAAACCTAAGCATGCGCTCTGGCGCGCTACAGAGGGAGCGGACCAACTTTAGCGGAACTCTCACTCAGTGTAACTGCTCCTTGACTCAGGATGGCCCTGCTAAACTACTTTAAAGTGGCCATCTTGTCAAGTTGAAAGTGACTGAGTTCATCTGCCTGACCCCACGGCCCAGGTCTGCACTGTGGAGCCTTGTCCCCTTGTGGTCGGTAGGTGAACTGGGACCCACAGGCGCACCTGGAGAGGATTAGAGAGCACAGCGATGACCAGGGAAAGGATCTGAGTTTCAATTTCCAAGCATGGTTTCCGCTGGCATGTATTGTTTTCACAGCATCATAAAGTCAAGAATAAAAAAAAAGAAATAAGTTAGAAGTTGAGCCACAGGTAAGTTAGGGAATATTTGACATTTTCTATAATAAAAAGTGTTTTTAAAAACCGTGTTATTTCTCAAAATTGCCAAAATATATGCAGCCAACCAGCAAAAGTATTTTCCTATGCGTGAGAGGAAAATATTGTGAGCCATTGCACTCTGCCTTCAAGCAGGCGCCCCACACTTACGCGTCCTCCAGAATGCCCCACAATCCAATCTGAAGGCAACTATTACATTGCAGAATAATATTTTTAACTAAATCAATCTTGACCTTAAGTCCAAGGTTGAAATTAGCACACATATGGCTTGCCAGCCCTGCCTGGGATTCTCACATTCAATTCCTACCTCGAGCCATGCTTTGATTATCTGCAAGCCTGCTCATATTCAAGCAGCTCGGCTGTATATTAAAGCTACATCTCATGTGGCCCCTGGCAGTCAATCCGCCAAGACAGAAAGGACTAAAGTGAAAGCCTTCCACCTTAGACCTGAGACTTGCGGTCAGAATGCTTCCCACATAAATAGATGCGGGGCACCTTGGGTTCACCCCAGGACTGACAGCGCGGCCGGTGGTTCTCAATCTTCCCAACACCATGACCTTTCGCCATGCTGTGGTGTGAGCTGATATCTTGTTTGTACTCTAACAAAGAAAACTTGCCTGAAGATCAGGGGAAGGAGCTAGCCACTTGTTAACCATAGAGGTCCGGAGGTCTGTACAGACAGACAGGAAGTGATATGGCTGAATGGAGAGAGGAATATAAGGCGGGAGGAGACAGTAGCTCAGCCTCTTTTCAGCCTGGAGAAGTCATAGAGGTAAGAATTCTAGTGGCTGGTTGCTCTGCTTCTCTGATCTGTCAGCATTTACCCTGTATCTGACTCCGGGTTTTTATTATTAAGACCAATTAGAATTTGCACTACATCTGGCGTGCAACATTAGGTCATGAATTCACGAAAAATTCGCTTGCCTGTGGCTTTACAGCCCTCTGCACAGGCAGGAGCTACATGCGGCTGAGTCACCACCCCACTGGCTGTTTTCCTTTCCTCTTCTCCCCAAACCCTCTGAGCGAGTTTGATTTTTTTCTGTTGCAGTCTCTCTGCAGCAAACTCCACAGGTGTTTGGGTTCCAAATGCTACAGGAGTTAGCGCTTTCACACACTCTTCCATGCAGACGGCTGGCGGCTTCTTTTCTCCAGGTGGGTTCTGGGCTTTCCCCGGACCTTCCTGGGGCTGCTGCCAAACTAGGTAGCTGCCTTGAAACCCACTCAAGCTTCTACTGTTCTACACAGCAGCAATCAGCCTCCCACTTAACCTTCATCTGAATCGTCAGCAGCAGCAGACTTGGTGAGACAACAGGGAATTCTTTTTGTTTTGTTTTGCTTTGTTTTTCTTCAAGACAGGGTTTCTCTGTACTTTTGGAGCCTGTCCTGTATCTAGCTTTGGTAGACCAGGCTGGCCTCAAACTCACAGAGATCCACCTACCTTTGCCTCCCAAGTGCTGGGATTAAATGTGTGTACCTTGGGAATTCTTAAAGGGAGTTAAAAGAAAGTTTTTTTCCCCCACATTAAAATTAAATTAAAATGGAAAGCACTATTGCAATGGAGGTAGTTAGGTCTCTGTATGATAATATGCTGAACAGTTTGAAAATGGAACAATTAAATGAGAGGATAACTAATTTAGATGGGATTTCTGTAATGTCAATTATAAACATCAGTTTTTATCATTTTTATCACTAAAAAAGTTAGTTAATGTGTGTGTTAAGATATAAGTTTTAGAAAAACTTACTAAAACAGATCATGGAGATATTCAGATCCAGACAGAGGAATTTAAAGGCAAACCAATTTCAGTGTTGCATTATAAGGTTAGAAAGGAACATCTTACACTTTTAAAACAAACAAACTTTAATTTATCTAGTTACCTTACAGGAACAACTGCCAAATGATAGCTATCCCAAGGCTGTGCAAGAACTAAATGAACTCCTGTGGAAATGTTATATTTAAGGAGATTCAAGGAAGTGATAGTCTCATATGGCATGCTTTCACCTTTTGTGAAACAGATGTTAAACTTGTCAACTTATAATAGAATTATCCCTCAAGACTGGAGAGACATGATTACAGCAGACTTGGATCCTGGTCCTCAATTACAATGGAGTGCCTGGTGGAAAGATGAGGCTAAGACCATTGAAC